AGTAGCTTTTTAATGGTGAAAGAATTTTTGAAATCGGTAAATAGTTTTTTATTTGCTTATAATATCCAAAAATAAAAATCTTTCCTCTTTATTACATTAGTATTGATAAAGGATTTCAGTTTATTTTTTCGATTCCATCATGCGCTTGTTTTGTGTGCAATTTGTTTGTCCACACTTATGTAAGCTATATTATTTGGACAACTGCCAATCGTATCAAGGTTCAATCTATGTAGATCCTAAGCTGTTAATCTGGTGCTTCGACATACACCATTGTAAATGAAAAGTTACGTCATGTAACACAAATTTGTTATCAAAAATATAAAGGACCATCATTTGATTGAAACTGTATGTTACACTTACGAGTATGTCCTTGAGTTACACTCTAAAGATAAAGTTGTTAAAGTGAATTATTAATTCAATTTTTATTGCTTGAGTAATCAATGCACGTCACCGTGAATTCGACGCTTTCTACCGTAAATTATTAAAATTTGATCCAAGAAACCAATTTTAACTTAATAGCCCCAACTGCGTAGAACCTTTTCTCTGAGAGAATAGATCCTCATTCAATTATCTAAATGAAATCTGGATCAGTCTTGTGATCGCACGGCGTTAACACAATTTGTACCAGTCCAAGTCGAATTAAGAATAAAAAGTTATTGGATCTTTTTATTGTATAAATTACTTCCAATAAAAGATTTTTTTATGTCTTTACGTGTATGTATGTACATATATTATGGTGTGATTTTTTCGTTTATCCTAGAAATTTTCCAATAGAGCTTAGTAGAAAGTTAAACTATAATAAAATATATATGTAAACATACATTTACGTTTCCACTCACCTAGAGAATCCATTACGAGCTGGCAGCGGAAGTGAGAGGTTCGCGTCGCCGGAAGTCGCCGGTGTACACCGGATATGATGTTGAAATTCCTGATTTCCGGTGCAACGTGGCTTTCATTTTGTCCAAGTAGATGCGCTTAACAATAATAAATCGTCTACTGTTATCTTCCACTACTTAGATTACAAATAGAATTATTTTAAAGGTAATCTGTACAAGATAAGTAATAGTTAATTTTAAAAGTCTAACACTTCTCAAATAATAATGTTTATTTTTGATATTTAAACAAAATTTACATTAAACTAATATTATTCTCTTAAGACTTTTTCCTTTTTGAGTTTATCTTACTTATCAGACTTACAATATTTAGTATTTTCCTTGCATTTCTAATCTACAGTAGGTTTCCACGGCGCGTTGTCTGTCCATCTGTCTGAAACTAAGATATCTAATGTGCTTCTGACAATTGGAGCCATTCTAGCTATTATATACTGCTTCGCAGAAATGAATTTTGTAACTGAGTCCGTCGTTCCGGAGTGGGTTGTGTGTGACAGTTACCTTTGATAAATGGCATATAACTAAATCATTCCGCGAACGCACGAAAATATTTCACACATCACGGAATAATGTATCGCGTAACTTTAATAGTGTTTTGGTGGTAGTTTATTTTTACGGTTTATAGAGCGAGAAAAAGAACGATAGGTAAATCGGAAAAATCGGGTAAGCTTCATACGGTTTATAAGAAGTAGAACTAATATTTTAACCAAGATTTTTTTTTTAATAATTTTAATATTTTGCAAGAAGGGAGTGACGACTGAGATGACGGATGATAGTGCTTTGGAGGACGAAAACCCGGTGCGCCGACCCTACGGGAGTAGGATAAGGCAGGGGAGATGATGATGATGATGATGATGAACTAATATTTTATCCATAATTTACTTTGCCGCAGTTAGGCCTCAAGCTATTGAATGAAATGGTTAATACAGAGTTTTAAAGCCTATTTCGTACTATTAAAAAAAATTCTTATCTTTATTGTCATTTCTCATGGGTTTATTAAAATGTTTAGTTTTGTTAAGTCCATTAAAAGTTGACAAACTAGGTGCTCAGTTACGAAGACGTTGGAAGATTTCTTGTTGTCAATTTAAAAGTTTTATTGCGGATTCTCTTTCCAGCTTTCCGACCATTTAAACACAATTAAAACCTATTTAAAGTTAGTTAACTAATTTAAATAAAAATAATAGAATTAAGTCGTATTATATTTTGATTAAATTGCACAAATGTTGGTCTTGATCTTAGTCTATTGTTTAAAGAAATAAAAAGCGCTATATACGGTCAGTTCTAATTGAAAGTTTTAACTAACTAATCAGTCGAACTATACAGTGAAAACTGCGTCTGTAGGCAAAATTTTAACTAAACAGTTACATTTTTGCCTACACACGCATAATTTTACTCATACATCTTCAGAAGAAACTGACAATTAAAACTGAGACTTCGTAGCAGTCTTAAATAACAGCTGTAAATTTTTCAGTGTGAAATGTCACGATAAGGAGTCTTAATCGAAAATTGTATGATACTTTACGACAAATCTTTCAGAATAGACACCTACCTAAAATAATGGCTTTCATTTTTCTCAACATGTTCTTTTAACTATTGTCTTCTTTCCTTTATGGACCATGTTTTTTTTTTCGAATTAATATTACGGCCTAAGTGCGCTACAGTACAACAAAGTTAAACGAACCACGAATGTGTGCACACGAATAACCGAATAGCTCGGATTACAACTATCCCGTAAAATGCTATAAATTTATCATGCGGTATAAGATACAAGAGGATGGCGATTACAAAAAAAAAACTATTCAAATATGATCCAAGTTGTGCTGAAGACTGTACAGTTTACTATCCGAATTCTTCTTCATGTAGTCAAAAAATAACTGGTTTTACTTCAAAACACTTGACATTATATTCCGCAATCGTAAGTCTCTCCAGTCTTCCGTAAAACTGAGAAAGTCACCGACCAGTTTGGTTACATTTTACACTTTTTTTTTAACATGCCAAGTTCATTCTCTAATTAGAGTTGGATGGTAAAGAATTTATAATGAAACACTAGTAACTACTTTATTTGGCATTTATCTATTTTTAAGATTTTAAAACGTATTAGTTACTTTAAAACTTTTCAAACTATAAGGTTGTACATTGTACCACACGATGTCATGTTTCGACCGCCCATTCGTATCAAGTTGGCTCCTGAAAGTTTGTTCCAATTATTCATTGCATATGCTGAAAGGATTAGGACATAAGTTAACAACAATAATATTATCAAAAATTTTATTTAGTGTTGCAGAGCAACTTCAAATTACTGATTTTTAAATCCAATAGATTTTTTTTAGATCAGTAAGAATTCATCTGATGTCAATTAAACAATAGAAAACATTTTAACAAAAAAGTGAAAGTTTAGATGGATGGATGGATGTTTGTTAGAGTTTGTAGCCTAAACGGCTAAACGGATTTCGGTGAAATTTGGTAGCAGTCGAAGATAGTTTGTAAGGATACAATACTCACGTTTGTTTTTTTAATTTCACACAAACGGTGTCGCGGGCGAAAGCTAGTATAAAATAATCTAATCACTTCTCTTATCAATATTAAAAAAAATCATTCATTAGAATTTATGTTGGTTCATTAGATTTTATGTTGGAATATCAGGTGTGTTGAACATTATCGAGGCGAGCTCCCGGTGCAATAAGATAGGTTAGGTCACATGACAACGACAAATGAGGCCGTAACTCTCTGCGTCCCCTCTTAAGATTTTCTTATACACCGGTTATTACATTTTACCTGCACCGTGCCGTTATTAAGTCTGGCAACGTTGAGTTTTTCTTTGCTTTTCTTACTCATAAAACCAGCGTGTACCGCAATGTGCGACATTTATTTCATCATAACTTACTTTTATTTCATTTTTAAAGTTAAAATATAAATAATTTTATAAGTTTAGATTTTTATCAAAAACTAATCTACTTAAAGTTTTTCTTTAAAGTATTTTAATTTATAAAATAAAATATCATATACGTATGATGAAAAATATCAAATTAAGAAACTTATTACAGAATACTTCCAAAGATAAATTAAAGAACTTAAGTATCTATGGCTATAGACGCGTAAGCTCATTTTATTGTTAAGACCACTACACACGTTTAGTTTTACCGGAATAATCGGATCGTTCAGATAAATCTAACGAGTGTAGGTAAAATTGAGAATGGGATAGCTCTCAGTTTTGTTATATTTACCTAAACGATCGGACTATTCAACTAAGCGTGTGTAGCTGGCATTAAAAAATCTATATATTACTTTAGTTGTTAAAAAAATGTTACGTATTAAAGGTAATAAATTTTCTCGACGATTGTACTCGTATATGTTTCTATCGAATAAAGCGATCTCTTCATTCCGACACTTTTTTATACTTCTGTAAGATTTATGTTCAAACTTGCGCTATTACTCATCTGGCTCCTGAGGAGTTTGTTTTTTGTAATCGATTCAACTTCTTTTGCTATCAAGTTTACGTAACTTAGAAAAAATGAATTAAGCGATCACTTAATTGTATTCTGTCATTTATGAGATTAACTTAAAACTATTTTTTTATTAATTACAAACAATAAACTTTTAATTATTGAAATCTTGGATGATGTCTATTTTATTTATTTTGAGCTCTTTTTAGCAGATTCCTTTTACTGCAATGTTAGTTATACTCGTATATATTATGTTATTATAAACGTATACAGTACACATGAATGCAAATAAAACGTTAAGTTTCCTATTAATGTTTAAAATTCATTGCTACCTTCTTATAAAAAAAATATTTTTTATTATTTAAAGTGTACACGTAATGTCAAAAATCTTACTGAGACTCTTGATTGTAAATGTAATTAGACTTTATTCATAATTCAATCAAATGAGTTGAAATAAAAAGAAGTATTTTCTTTCAAAGGTACAATAGCAAATATTAACAGGACTGGATTGATTAACCCGTGTGTAAAATGATTTGGTTCAATTTAATGCACCGTAAAATTTTATTCAGGTTTAATGAAACCACACGCACTATCGAAAACTAATTATTACTTCTGAATAAATAATTGTATGATGAAACCTGGACTATGGATTTGAAATAAAAAAAAATGTGGAAACTTCTAATGTTTATTGTCTCGCTAATTTTCGTTTTCATTATCTATTCTACTCTTTTCACTTTCTTGCTTATTTTCTACAGTTTTCATTCCGATACATATACTGTATTCTTTAGTGTTATTAGATAATAAAGCATTTGGTCGATTTCGGTAATGAATATTGGTGACATTTTCACAATTAGCTCCTCTTTTGTCGCCTTCAAATCACTTACTTCAAATTATAAACACGTAAATATACACATATAGTACAAAAATGTTATTTTCCCCTTTGCGTTCTTCCATAATATGTTTCACACACCATGATCTGTGACCATTCTCGTAGTCTTTGATGCAGAATTATTCTCTTCGGTATTTATAATATCATATTAATAAATATGTCGACTAGACGAAACTTTCGTTGTACGTATATTATTTTATAGACTAGTCGACACTTCAGTGTTCCTCAAATCAGGCACGTTTAACGTGAAATGTCTGTTACAAGTGCATTTACTTTGTCCGCCAATTTGATCTCTGGCGATACAAATGTTGGGCGATCGAAATTTTTCAGCTCTTCCTTTTTCGTTGTCTTTTGATCTATCATGAATCTTATATATAGGTCCTATATCTTTTTTACTATCTACTTTATCACTTTTAGTAACAAATTCAGGTGATCTTTGGTATAATTCAGATGTCAGCCAGTTCTGTTGGTAAGTTTTGCTTTTGTTGCTTTTCAAATGTGAATAATTATTGCGATCGGAAGCGGTTTCTACTTCGGTGCTATGTTCACTTGAATAACGTTGGGACATCCAAAGATATCGCGCCATCGGTTCCTCTGGTCCCCATAAACGTGAAGGACGGAATGCTGATGCCACTTTCTGAAAAGAAAAACAATAAAAAATGAAAAAAAAATGAGCATATTATTTTACATAAACTGTTTTAGAGATGTCAGGATTGGGTAAATCTAATTTACTATGGTTTAGTTTTCAGAGGACATATCTCAACTACTAAATATAAATTTATTTCCGCATACCATGAAATTTCACATTTTGATTGGTTGATATTATATAGTCAGTGATGATCGCTTAATAAAAGGTGGATTGTTGGAACTCCCTTTATCGTCTCTTTTAGTTAAAAATTCTGCTTACCGTAATCAAGTTGAATTGTTCCTCTTTAGCAACAGCTATGGCAGCAAATATCACTATGATGACAATTATTAAAATTAGTATCCCGACTAAAGGCCAGAGCACTGGACCATGGGCCCAGGTAGTACGTAGCGACGCTCGCAGCCACCATCCCGTGACACCCAGGAGTATGAAAGGAGTTAACCACCATACAATTATCCAATAACTGGACAATCTCGTCCCGGTGACAAACTGTACGTCGATAGTGAGGTAGAACCAGCCTGGAAGTTATACGAAATATATGTTAATTTCCAAAATCCAAATAGAAAAAAAATCACAGGGCAAACAATTAATACCTGTAGAAAGTATTATATGATTATCTCTTTTAACTAATTTGCTATTTTATTTTTGCAGGCGTCTCGACTGTCATCGATTACGGTAGTGTTATTTTTCTGATATGTTAAAATGCACCAAATACTAAATACTTTTATTCCAGCATATTAAAATTAGCTGAATACTTACCGTATAAATAAACGAATCCTACTACTTCGATAGCGGCTGTGAATACGGCCAACACTGGCACCACCATTTCATCTAACAGCGCCACTATGTCAAGTCCACTAGCCAGTACTGCGACCGTCAGAGCTGTCCCAACTGCTGACGTTGCTGAGGCGTAAAGCCGCCATTGGTCTCCGGTTAATCGATGCAGTTTGTCGTACACGGGAAAGAGTAGTGTAAGCTGAAAATTGATTTACATAGATATTTTAATTTATTATTATATCACAGGTAACAAGAGTTTATAACTATTTGGGATGACTGTTCGAATATTTGGTAATGAGACAAAGAACTTCTAAAGTAAAGTCAATTCTGCAAATGTTTTTAAATGAAAAAATATTTGTACATATAAACCATATAAATCTACATTAAGTCTTCTTTGTTTAAACCTTTACAGTATTTTAAACTTATATAATAGGTTAAAATACACAATGTCACGGTCCAGCGAATAACTGACGGAATAATTTTTCTGTTTATGTTGAAATATTAAATCGCACGATGTCGTTAACGTAACTATTACGAAGTTCTAGGAAATCCAACTTTGTTAGTACAAACTGTAATGTGTGAATATTTTTTTGATACACTTAATATAAAAAAACATAAACATTTATCTTATATAGTTAAAGTCAAAGGTATATTTTTTCTGTATTGTATACCAATCCATTTCTATTTAATGACTTTAGATAATTGAAAAACTTCTTATTACATATACATTTCCTTATTCCAATCAAATTCGTACAAGGCTCATTTCAGATGACGTTTATATTTGCGTCAATGTAGGTTGTGTTTTGAATAGCATTGTTAACCTATAATAATACAAGCTTACCACACTTATAACCCCGGAAAGTAGAACTAATGCGAACGCCAAAATCGGCCATTCCTTAGCTCTTCGCTCTGATACTGAAGATTGATAGATTAGCACCAATATTGTTATGATCCCCAGATCTTTCTTGCTGCTGCCACTGATGAACTCCCAAAATAATACCCACAACCATCCTGATAGTATGTTTGAAATAATAACAAATGTTGACACCCTGAAAACGAGGAACGAAAATAATAAACACATGAAAGGCACAATATTAATAATATTTAGAGAAGTGGGTTTTTTTACAGCATTAAAAGTATGGGGAATGTAATAATTGATTAATAGGAATCGTTTTAGATTCATTTTTAGTATAATGTAACTGTTATTTGTGTAAGATACTAAAATTTAAACAAACATTTGACGACTACGTGAACTAACCACACAAAAGCCACAAAGCAGATTGTATTTCCTTCAAATACTATGATAATGTTGTATCTTACAAAACATATGAATAAATATTAAAGTGTTCCCAAGTTGCCAGAAGAAAATTAACAAAACACGAACCATCTGACGTCAGAAAACGAGTAGACCGTCCCACCAGCACTTATCAGATATCCGCTAACGATCTGCGTCGACAGCAACGCTTGTACCAACGCACTGTGCCAAATGTACGGTTCAGACATAGTCTTCCAATTCTCACAATATTCCATTAATGAATACAAACTTCCATTCTCCGAGAGAAATGAAGCAAGAGCTATAGCGATTATCAAGATCATTGGACTTATAGTTAGAAACGATATCGTTAATGACTTCCTTAGTCTGTACAACCTGCAATATAAAACAACAGTATGAAATCTTTTATTTGTCATTTATTTTAACTATTTCTTCCCGTTACGTTTTGCTTTAGAAAACATTTTGAATTTGAATTTAGAAGCATTATTTTCTTCTTTTTCAAAAATTTCAATAATAAATGATTCAGCCTTCTTGATACAATGGTAATTAAACGAGAATATAATTAGCATCAATAATTTTATTGTGACAAAGTACATACCAATTAATACTTACATAATGGGCACAAAGAACCATAAAACGAATATTAAAATAGCCATTACGCCGAGATACTGCGGGTGTTCAGTGAATGGCGCCAAAAATGTTGAACTGAAATTGTTAAAATAATTAAACACAACTTGACTGGTATGAAACGTTCAAAACTTTCGGTATCAAATCATTGGCAAGCTTGATTCAAACAAAAGACAAATTAAAAAGATCTAAGTTTATTCCTAAGGTGTCAGAGACAATGAAAATTATATCGCGCCGTTCTGACCTACGTTTAGAATTGACCTTAATTGACAAATCGAATGAATCCGCTATTATTTTTAGTTCGGGACTAGGTCGAGCTATTCCCATTTTAACAACCTTTTCACAAGTTATTAACGAGTATAACTTACTTGAAACATTCTGACGCATTCATTTTATTTTCATATCCATACTGAAAAAACAAAAACATATATTATATTAAACAATAAAATAATTCTTTCATTACATCAGCGACTTTGCAAATAGCAACATAAATAAAAAATGAAAACTCATATAAAACATCGGTCGCAAATAGAGTGACAAGTCGATGAAAGATTTGGAATATTAGACGACGTGAGGCACCGTTGTTAGTTAGGGAATATGACGTCACGTGTATATCTTTTAATTTAAAATGCTATAACATACATTTTAATTACTTTTTATCTTATTTAATGCTTACCGGTGTGATATGTAATTTGATACAATCCTTTAGAGGAATGGATCCTTTTGCGATCCATATTAAATATGCAAAAGCGAGCGCAGCGTAGATCATACCATACGCACAGCATAAGTACGAAGTCAATAGTTTTAAATGTCCAATACCTGTAATTATAATCATTTAGTTATCACAACTTAATATTCTTGACAAAGTAAACAAAACATCAAATAAAACAAACTGCTTGTTCAAAAATGTTTCTGGTAATTATTTTCTAAAGTGGTGGTTGTCTTAAAATTATAATGGTTCATTGTACTACTTAAGACAAAAAGTTGAATAAACCCGTTAATTAAAAGGAAACAGCATTACAGATACAGCGAGTTAAGAAGCGTATTTTAATTAGTAATTGTTATAACTATCGCAAAAAAGACAGAACCAGGATTTATACTTTTTGCGATATTTGAATTTAATAAAATACCATCTCATAAATGACTTTTTTCATCAGAATTAACTTGGAATTTAATTCATTAATAAAAGTAAATCAAACCTCTAAGTATTGGAACAGCCCTCCATACACCAACAGGATCCTGTTGGCTGAGTTGTCCCATCGTCAACTGCAGCATCGTGATCGGCAGGCCGAGTGTTATCAACCAGAACGTGTAAATGATCAAGTACTGCAGGTCGCCGTATCTGAACGCCTCTCTCGGGAGACGCACCAAGTTGAAGAGAGTCAGCGATATCGCGATCGTGGATACTTGTATCTTGATCGCATCGTACGCCCGTCGGACTGTCTGGAACAGAAAATATTACTGATAGAATATTACTGAAGAAAGTATGGATGGATTGTGTGATACAGGATATGCGTAAGAAGTTAGTGAATTCAGATATGACAATTGATAGAAATGTATGGAAGAACAGCACATATGCCGACCCTCTTTAGGGACAGAGCAAGATGATGATGATTATAAATGCGGAAGTTGGTATGATTGGATGTTTGTGACTAAATAAAATAAACTATTATGTATACCTTTTTAACCAATCATTTTAGGTTTTAATTTTTTTACATACTCATTCTATTGTAACAAACATTGTTATTCACACAAGATTTAAAAAAAAACAAAGACTTGAAGCAAATTACTTAACAAATGTGGATATTAACATGACTTTGAAAACAATAATAAGCCAGTCTAGAGTCAATTATTACATGTTTACAATGACTGTATAAGAGGTATAATGAGTACCAATTTATATTTAGTATTTGACGTCAATTTTTCTGTATTTATGAAGAAGGCCGTAAATACATAGACAAATATATCTAACCATATCTTTCCATCAATATTCTTAACTCATGGAGACAGTGATGTGCCAGCTGTTGTCCAGCAAAGGTATATTAATAGTCAAAGGAAAATTGAGTAATAGATAAAATAAAATAAGAAACTACTTAACGAAGATTTTGGCAAATTAACGATATATTTGGTAGGGAATTAAATCCCTAACAAAATGTCTTGTTTAGATCATTCACAAACTGTTTTTAAATATATCCTCTTTGCAAAAACAAGGATTTTGTTTAAATAATTTAATCCACATATTTCAATTGTTATAATAAGAGTGTGAACCAACAGGAGGAATTTAAAAATGATGTGACTAACGGACATCTTGCCGTATTTGTATGCATATTTAAATCTCATTGTCTATTAGAATATCACAAATATATTGTTGAAACGATATCGAACCGATACTTGATGTTTTGTAAACTCGTAGCCGCATTGAATGGAAAATTAACGTACTGTTAGCGACGAGGTGATCACAACGATTCTGTTTAGATACACTATGCGTCATTCTGTAGATCGAATTATTAAAACTTTTATTGTTCTTGTAACCGTTGAAAAGTAACACCAGAATTAAACAAACTATGTTTAACGTGCGCAAGTTTTCCAATAACTTCCCTACCCTCTACTACGTTTACTTAGTGACATGGGCTAATTCGTGACGTTATATACCCGTAGGCTTAGCTTCACATGTATGTATAAAATCAAAATCTTTTCAAACGAAGATAAAGTAGGTGTCATAAAAGTCGGGTAGTGTAGGCAAAAGATTCTTTACTATAGAATGTGGTAATCATGAAGAAAATTCTAGAAACTATTAGCTCATCTAATACAGAGTCTATAAACAGTTTGGATGTTTTATAGTACCTTTATACAGCTAAAATTAGTTAAAATATGAGAATATAAATAGATGATAACATTTACATAGTTAAAATTACAGACTTAACAAATATATTTAAGGAAATTGAGTTGTTTAGATAGGTATAGATTGTCAGCTGTTTCCTGTAATCATATCAAGGGGACTATTGTGACTATTTGCTTGGCAGTTGCGAGAATGTATCCGTAACGACATCGATAAAATTAGTATCAGACTTGTTGATGTATTTTACACCCGGTAGATGATCTTATACAAATTTTGTTGATGATTTACGTTCTCATGTATATTCGTGATAAGCCCTCTGTTATTCATTTTAATTACTAACTATAATAATTATGTATGTTAAATGCATACTACGTCTGAGTTATATTCTATCATTTACAGTCTTACTGTTTTGCAAATATTGCAGGTCGTAGCATACATCTAATAGTAAATAATAATTATGTACACATTTATTTTCTTGTAATATACGATGAGTAATCGTTTATCTAATTCTTATGTAATATTCATTTACTTGTAGAATAAAGGTGTGATTTCGTGAGCCGCGACAAACAGAAGCAGACCCGTGTCTGTAAAATGTTGTAATGCGTCACACAAAGTTAGTCTTTTTATTTATTTTATTAATTATCATTATACATTAGCAATGAAACTATGACTTCTTGCAGTATCATTTATTGTAAATACGAACTTCGTGAGCGACTCCACTCGCGTGGAATTAAAAAAAAGTAACCTATGTGTTTTTCCAGACTGTCCTCTACACCTATGCCAAGTTTCATCGACATTTAGCAGCAGTTTAGGCTACAAACTATAACAAACATTTGCAAACATATATCGAAAACGCTATCAAAATGAATCCTGCAAACAATGCTTTTTGCTGTTGAGACTAATGCCGTCATTAGTTATGTTTGCAAATGTTTGTTATAGTTTGTAGCCTAAACTGCTGCTAAATGCCGATGAAACTTGGCATAGATGTAGAGAACAGTCTGGAAGAACACATAGGTTACTTTCTTTTGATTCCACGCGAGTGGAGTCGCTAACGAAGCTCGTATTTACAATAAATGATACTGCAAGAAGTCATCGTTTCATTGCTAATGTAAAATAATAATAAATAAGATAAATGCAAAGACTAACTTTGTGTGACGCATTACAACATTCTAAAGACGACAATATACTTCTACATAGCAGTGCGGTTTTATTTCCATTGAACATAATAGTTATTGTTAAAACTTATGGAGTATTTATAACATAATAAGGACAACTAATAGATGTAAGTAAACGACTAAAAATATATAACAATATACACGTTGTATTTAAAATAATCATAGAAGTAAAGTGTAGAACAAAAATATAAATTTTTACTCACCTTACGATGGATATACATATAATAAATAATAGTATTAAACATTACATAGAACTTGATTAAGCATCTATATCAATTTATACATAATTAAAGAACATAAAACAATAAGTAGTTGCAAGACAACATGATCATGAGCAAATGCCTTAAAATCAAATTTAAAAAAAATAACGATTCACAATAAAAACACCTCAATTACTTTGAAGACAAAGAAAGTCTAAGCAATATAATTCCGTACAGTGACTAACAGTAGTAAGGAATCCTTACAAACGAAAATTATCACCGGTAGTGTAATAAACGACACGAACAAACGCTTAGTCCATCCGATATTACGGCACGGTCACAAACAACCTTTTAACACGCATCAATTACATATAATTGGCATTAAACGACATACATACAGAGATCATGACCCTAATAAATATCTACTGATGTTCTGCCGCAAAACCTACACTAAAACACTCATTATTAACAAATGTATACTGAATTTTAGTTACCACATTAAGAGAACCGATAAGAGGGTAGAACGACAATCTTTTTTATCATTAGTTACTAAGTTTTCTTTAAAGAATTCTAAATTAAAATAATTTTTTATAAAATTAACATAAAAATTGTTTTTAAAAATACTAAGGGCTTGTCCAAACCAAATTGTAAATTGTCTGGTAATCGAACGTGTTAAAATGTGACAGAAATATCGGATTTTGTTCCTTTATTTGACAGTGACGTCATTTTTAAGCTATCTGAGCCTCTATCAGCCAGTGGTGGGACAGGCCGTAAAACATTTAGATATTTCATACTTAAATTTAAACAGACATGAAGACACATTTTAGAGAAATATAACGTTTAGTTGAGAGCTTAATAAAATCTATGTTTTACAATAACGCTACGTTACAAACAGATAGATCTGAATGCAACTTTAACATTACAACATTCCTTATGTAAGATGTAACAAAAAGACATTAAGAACTCGCTCTATTCTACGTATATAATCAACGCTATATTGCTATTTAAATACGTAGTAAATAATAGGGAAGATATAACTGTTGTTATTTTCACATTAACTTAATGTTATTTTTATCGTTAATAGATCATCAATCGAGCGCGGACATTGTTGACGCTCGCGTGCTTGTCATTTCACTCTTAATCCATAACTTACTTTTCATTTCTGTTCCGGCATTAACAGCTACATAGCTTTTTACATAATACTAGGAAACAGTCGTTTATAGAGAATTATTTATGAAAAACTAAGCAAATACTGATCTTTACATTACATTAACTTAGTTACAAAATTTTTCACTACTAGTACTTTTTGTTTTGAGCTGCTTTAAAATGAAGAATAAAGTTCCTCCAAGATTTATTTATAGTGTGTAGTGGTCACCAATTGGTCGAAATTACATTTATACTAACCTAACCTAACCTATACTTATATTATAAAGAGGAAAGATTTCTATTTTTGTATGTATAGGAATAACTCAAAAACTACTGGGCCGATTTTAAAAATTCTTTCACCGTTAGTAAGGTCATTTTTCTCTGAGTAACTTTGGCTGTATTTTTATAGTTTTTTTTTTTATTTTAGCAGGACGAAGTCGCGAGCAACAGCTAGCTATTCATAATAATATAAAATCTAATACAAAACGTGCTTCACGTAATAATTTACGTTTTTTATCTAGCCTGATAGGTTTACACGAAAACGTAGTTTGCAAACTAATTATTCCATTAGTTATAGGGGTATTTCAATTAAATAAGCCTTGAAATGTATTAGGAAGTCCGCCCCATAGCCATGAATAAATCTGACCGCAAATTGCACATGAATTAAATAAATCTCGACTTAATGTATCTATACTATTATAATAAATTGTAAACACACACTTCTTTGTTGCCTAAGATGTCAACAATCACAGCATATTTTTGAATAATTCTTATTTTAATAAAAGGCCGTACATTTACGTCACGCTTTAGGCTATATATTATCACGCTATTAAACTTAGGGGGTAAACATTTTGGATTAAAAACCCTAATGTGGAAAGAGACCATAGGTTGCTGCCTACATCAAGGAAGCAAGGTTGTCATTATGTCGTCATTTTGGCATTTATTATTGATAATTTGACAAATACAAACAATAAAATAAAGTTTTTATCATCTCATGCGGGTGAAGCCGCACGGGAACAGCTAGTTCCAGCATAAAACTGCAATATTGCATGTGAAAAATCGGATTATGTAAATGGTTGAATAGTTTCATAGTTT